AGCACTTATTCAGTGTGTAAAGAAAGTGCCTTTCTTTATCCCTTTCTCTTGGTGGTCACAATTATAGTTTTAAATACTCGAAGAGGGATTTATGACACGCCTTTTCTTCATGTTTTCTCTATGTTTATGACACTCCCTTTCTCCATAATTTTGTCTTTAAGTATCGCACAGTATGATATGATGGAAGCAGGTCATTTTAGGGCAGAATTGCATTGTCACTTTTGGGAAAAAACGATGAATGTCTCCAGAACATGAAATCACATGCACACGAGTTCCTGAAAGCTACTGACTTCTGATGAAATGCAACCATCTTTTTTTGTCTGATCAGCTCTTTTTTTCTGATTCCATAATCCCTGAAAGAAAACTCTGCATTTTTTCTAGTTGTGACTCAGTTAGAATGTACAATCTGGTAAATGTTATAAGACAAAAAGGAAAGAAATTCATAAAACTGGTGAAAGGGAAAACGTTTCTTCAGGATGCACCTGATATGGTTTCCTGGCCCAACTCAGGTTGAGTTTACTGCCCCTCTGACAAAACCACAGAACCCCACTGAATTTAAGACCTTACAACAGGATATCTCCCCTAAAATGTGCCTGTACAGTACAGTTAGAGTACATGCTGCATTAATACCAGACAGTGTAATCCCTGTTAAAGATTGTTGTTTTGACTGCACTGAAAAAAATGCATGGTACAAACATGATTTTGATGGGTATTCCTCTTTAAGTATAGTCTTGAAGTGTATCAGTTGCCATGTTTGAATTTTGTTGTAGTTTTCTCTGTTGATTAGTCTTGATTGTTCCCAGGAGTGTGTATACAATATATATATATATATATATATATACAGTATATATATATACAGTATATATACACTCACCGGCCACTTTATTAGGTACCCCATGCTAGTAACGGGTTGGACCCCCTTTTGCCTTCAGAACTGCCTCAATTCTTCGTGGCATAGATTCAACAAGGTGCTGGAAGCATTCCTCAGGGAGTTTGGTCCATATTGACATGATGGCATCACACAGTTGCCGCAGATTTGTCGGCTGCACATCCATGATGCGAATCTCCCGTTCCACCACATCCCAAAGATGCTCTATTGGGTTGAGATCTGGTGACTGTGGAGGCCATTTTAGTACAGTGAACTCATTGTCATGTTCAAGAAACCAATTTGAAATGATTAGAGCTTTGTGACATGGTGGAAGTAGCCATCAGAGGATGGGTACATGGTGGCCATAAAGGGATGGACATGGTCAGAAACAATGCTCAGGTAGGCCGTGGCATTTAAACGATGCCCAATTGGCACTAAGGGGCCTAAAGTGTGCCAGGAAAACATCCCCCACACCATTACACCACCACCACCAGCCTGCACAGTGGTAACAAGGCATGATGGTTCCATGTTCTCATTCTGTTTACGCCAAATTCTGACTCTAACATCTGAATGTCTCAACAGAAATCGAGACTCATCAGACCAGGCAACATTTTTCCAGTCTTCAACTGTTCAATTTTGGTGAGCTCTTGCAAATTGTAGCCTCTTTTTCCTATTTGTAGTGGAGATGAGTGGTACCCGGTGGAGTTTTCTGCTGTTGTAGCCCATCCGCCTCAAGGTTGTGCGTGTTGTGGCTTCACAAATGCTTTGCTGCATACCTCGGTTGTAACGAGTGGTTATTTCAGTCACTGTTGCCCTTCTATCAGCTCGAACCAGTCTGGCCATTCTCCTCTGACCTCTGGCATCAACAAGGCATTTCCGCCCACAGAACTGCCGCTCACTGGATGTTTTTTCTTTTTCGGACCATTCTCTGTAAACCCTAGAGATGGTTGTGCGTGAAAATCCCAGTAGATTAGCAGTTTCTGAAATACTCAGACCAGCCCTTCTGGCACCAACAATCATGCCACGTTCAAAGTCACTCAAATCACCTTTCTTCCCCATACTGATGCTCGGTTTGAACTGCAGGAGATTGTCTTGACCATGTCTACATGCCTAAATGCACTGAGTTGCCGCCATGTGATTGGCTGCTTAGAAATTAAGTGTTAACGAGCAGTTGGACAGGTGTACCTAATAAAGTGGCCGGTGAGTGTATATAGGCCTATATATGTTTCCTCTGTTCATTGTTGGTTTTTGTCCTTCCATGGATGTTGTTTGTATAGTTTTCTCAATGTTTGTTACTTGGTTGTTATCTTCTTCATTTATATCCTTAAAGTAAACCTGCATTTAGATCCATCTCTCCTGGATTTCTTAGCCAGCCTTCATATTACAAAAAACACATTATTACAAAGTGTATATAGCCTACCTATTCTTTATGTCTATGCAGCTTTTAAAATAAATATAAATGTAATTGTGACTTTATATCTCACAATTGCAAATGTATTTTTCGTAATTATCTGTCAATGTGACTTTATATCACATTATTGTGACTTTTGTTTTTGTTATTTTCAACTTAATATCACAATTACTTACGCACCAAGATGGCAATTACTGTATAATGACTAAAAATACAGTAAGAACAGTAACGTTATGAAATATTACATATTTTTAAATATTTTTTTCTATTTAATTTTAGTTTAAAATATAATTTATTCCTGTGAGGATAAAGCTGACTTTTCAGCATCATTACTCCAGTCTTCAGTGTCATTTGATTTGTCAGAAAGCATTCTAATATGCTGATTTGCTGCTCAAGAAACATTTATTATTATTAGTATCAATGTTGAAACAGTCGTGATACAGTTCTTTGGATTCTTTGATGAATAGGAAGTTCAAAAGAAAAGCATTTATTTGAAATAGATATCTTTTGTAACATTATACATTTCTTTTCTGTCATTTTTGACCAATTTACTGTGTCTGTGTTTAATAAAAGTATTAATTTCTTTCATATAAAAAAGAAAATACTAACCCCAAACTTTTGCATTGTATTGTACACATATGCTTGTGGGACATTATTAGTTTATATAGTTTATAAATTTATAGTTTATAGTTTATATTAGTTTATCTGGCCAAAGTAAAACAGCATGATGGATCCTCAGGCCTACAGAGAGGCATCTGGGAACTATAAAAACTTGTCAAAAACAGTGATGGTGTTTGACTAACAGAGAAAAATTAATTATTCAATGCATTCTCAACAAATGCATCATTTAGATTTTTTTGCTCTTATTTTCACAAGAAAAAAAACATTATTAAATATTATTATTAGGTGACAAAATAAGCAGTTTAGAAAATGAAATGAAAAACAATAGGAAGGGAAATTCACTGGCACTCACGATACGATTTACATACCTTTTTTTAGCGCCCTCAGCTGCTCAAGTCCTTGCATGCGTCCATTATTTAAATCATTATTCAGATATTGTTTATATCCAGGGTGAAGACGAACAGCATCAGATGATCATAAACATGATGTCCTTCTTCAATTTGCTCAGATGTTATGAAAATATCAGTCAGTCCCTGTTGTTGAATGGGATTGTTGATTGAGAAACAGTAGGGGATGAAGCAGTAATTTTAGTTTGATTCTTTACTGTTTATGGAACATATGATGACTAGCCTGTGTTAATTATAATACAATACCAAAGAAGATAATAATTAGCAAATACAAGAATGGAAATGGTCTAATATTTAATCATTTCAGACCATCATTAGGAGAATGGAGAACAACTGTTCTAGGCACTACTGATCAGTGATGTGGAAGGAGCGACACCTTGCGGTGAAAGCATGAAGGATGATTGAGAGAAGTAATGAACGGAGCACCTGAGTCTGACTACATTTGAGTTGTTTGTGGCCTGTGATAAACATCAATCGGCATGCATAAGTCAAGGTTTGCATTCAAATAATTTATTAAATAATAAATTAAAATCTCCGTGGAAACACATGTAGGCCTACAAGAAGATGCCCAACACTGTCACATAGGCCTAAGTGGTCTTAACAAAGAATTCAGCCTGGTAAGTAAGTTAAACTTTTGGTTCATTTTGGCTTAGCCTAGGCTAGGCTACTTCCACCCATGATTACATCGACCGCCTCAGTTTTTTAGCTGTTGCTGCTAACTTTGTTGTCAGTATTAGTTAAACAAAGCGTTTCCCTGACGAAATGTAAGTTTGGTGGCATGTTATTTAGGCAACCTTGTAAACGCAGTTAAATCAGTGATGGACAGTTTCGATGCAAACTGTCAATCACTGATAAAACCGCGTTTACGATGTTTACAATGGCTTTTTAAACACTATTCAAAGTAAATTCACCCTGATTCAGGCAGCTGAGGCCCATTTGTGTTTCGTAACATGTTTCTTTTTAAGCTGGCACTGATCCAGGCTGGCCAAGCGGGTACAGAGAAGAACCAGCTGGTCACTCTAGCAGCTTCCAGCTGTTCAAGCTGGTTTTTGGAGGAGCATGGTGCTGGAAACAGCCCAAACATTATAGCGTACGTTGGATTTTTTGTCGTTTCTTGTGCTTCTCCAACTGCACCGAGAGATATTTGTTTCAGTCAGCGGCCAATAGATGGCAGTATTGCCCTACGTCTTCGACAGGGTGACAGGTTCAACGAAATCTAATGAACATCTCAAATTTAACCGTATTTCATTACTGCAAAAATAATGTTCCTTTCTGTTTAGCTTCGAAGTAGTAAAAATAAATAACGCTATGGTGACAATTCAAGTAAAAAAAAAAAAAAAAAGCAAAATAATTACGTTTAACCAACGCATTTTCTCATAGGCTAGCCGAAATGATTTCATCAAGTAGCCTAGATGTTGTAAATTACATTAATTAAATTACAACCATAAAAAGGTTTCTTGGAAATTAAATGCACGGAGCACCATCGCTGTAACTTGTTTCTTGAGGAAGTAAACTTGAAATGCTGCTCATTTGTCGGACAAACTGCTCATGTCTCCTACGAGGACAGAGCGAGACGCCAGTCCCTTTGACCGACGTTCTCATCCGCCAATCAATTGAATGGATGTGTGGCGAACCTCCAATCACTGCAGAGATGGGGCGGGGCTTTCTCGGAATAGCCTCTTCACTATTACGTCATGCGCGAACAGCTGGTCCGTTGCAAGAGCTGAAAATGTGGACAAGCGTAGCGATATAAAAATCGCGTCCGTGCCGTCGGGGCGTAAACAGTCAGTTTATCACGATGTGGTGGCTGGACGGGTTTAGGTCGGGGATGGGCCGCCTGGAGATCCTGTTGCTTGTTTACACCTTGCTCTGCTCTCTCGGAGGTGAGTCGCTCAGTGAGGGTTGAAGTGAGATCTCTATCTTGATGCAGTGGAGCTGTCCTTTGTGCTGGTGCTGAACTATTCAGCACTGAATGGCTTGGCCGTAGCCTATATCACATTCAATGCTAGTGCACTTTGGCCACACAGCAGGTGGAATGCGTTTCTTCTTTGCGCTGGTGTCTTATTTATTTTATGCTTTAATGTTGTCCTAGGCACATCCCCGAGGATAAAGCACAGACTACAGTGTGTGCTACATTCTTGAGGAGCTTCGTGCGAGAAGTGGATGCTTCTTTATGTCTAGCAAGACTTATATCGTAGTATAATCTCGGGCTAAACTGAGAGCAAAGTATGTATTATGTTCCGTATCGAACCGCACTTTATTGCCTTAAATCCCTAGTGTATGCTGGTTTATATTGTTTTAACTATTTATTATTATTATTAACTATTTATTCTCACGTAGCCAATAGGCAGTTTTAGTTTAGCGCGATTCCCATAGTATCAGCATCATTTGCCTTCTGGAAATATGTAGGCCAATTATACAATTATTGCTTTTTAATGTCAGCGTGCAAGTCTCGAGACTTACCTCTAGTCATCTAACGCTTGATAGCGCTAGAAGAGCGCCGAGTTGTTTCTTGTTTATCTCGAGATGCATTTGTAGATCGCATCGATAAGGAAGTAAATCTGGCTGCCAGAGCAAGACAATACCTGCGGTGCCGTGCCTGAAAGCGCATCTGATGGATGCTGTGCTGTTTTACTGTCAGCTGTACTTGAGCTCCGAGACGGACTTCACGGACTTGCTGTGCTTAAGGAATAATAACAGGCACCGTGGTCTCGTTAGTCTTCTGTAGCCTACTCTATTTTTACTCCGTTCCATTATACATGGATAACAATTGTTTGATTACGCACAGTAGCACACATCACAAACTTAAAATAGTATAATATTATTAGATATTTGCTGGTTCATTTTGGAAACCTGACAAGCTGAGCGTGCAGTTGTTTGTTTGAAAAAAAAAGGATATTGGTGAAAATAACTTGTATTTATATATGCTCTGTAAAATGTTTTCAGTATTATTAGCCTATTATTATAACACTTTTTTTGTTTTAATCCACAGATTCTGTATTTCTGTCATTTTTCATTTATAATTAAAAAGACGAATACATATTTTAACACTTTATTTTACAGTGTCTTTGTTTAATGTTACATGTAGAAATAACCAAATCCTAATCCTACCCTAACCTTATAGTAAGTATAGTAAGTTGATATTACTCAGTACTTAAATATAATTACACTGTAACAATGACACCTTAAAATAAAGCGTAACCCCACTTTGATTTTTACTTACAAATTTAAGGTAGCAATTAACGTTAAGTTTTAGATTTTATATATATTTACCGTGAGCATTATTATTTTGAAGTGGCGATTCTTTTAACTTTTTGACCTTATTCAGAAATTCTTGAATCTTGACTTTGCACTCTTTATTTTGTACAAAACTGCACTGCATATGGAACGAGGAGGGTCGTCTATTGGGGAAAATGTTTTCCATTTCCACTGAATACATTTTTTCTTTTTTTTTTTGTGTGTGTCTACTTTACTTACTGCTGACGAGATTCATAATGCATGAGCAATTCATAAACATCACTTGATTAACAGGGCACCAAACACATTGCAAGGAGATCCGCCAGTCACAGGACTTGGCCGCGCACTCGCATTGATCACAGTATTGACAAGCCGCAGGAACGGAGTGATGCTCTGAGGCTAGCACAAAGGAGCAGGACCAATGAGCCATCCAGTCTCATGGGAGAACAATTCAGAGCAGACCAAAGAAAACAGTTCAATGTGACAGACGTTGACAAAAAGCAGGGCTGTGACTCAGTGAGTGAGAGAAGAGACTTTCAGCTTACCGATTGTGCCTCTGTCTTAGTTGTTCGGTTTGGAATCGCTCACACCTCTTAATGTTTTGACTTAGTTCGATCTTACCCTCTGTCCTATTTTTATCTGTTGCAGTCAAGATGGGATTTGCTGGGACAAAAGCATTCTATCTATCTATCTATCTATCTATCTATCTATCTATCTATCTATCTATCTATCTATCTATCTATCTATCTATCTATCTATCTATCTATCTATCTATCTATCTATCTATCTATCTATCTATCTATCTATCTATCTATCTATCTATCTATCTATCTATCTATCTATCTATCTATCTAATCTATCTATCTATCGTGTTTGTTTGTGTGACAAATCTTTTAGTATTTCGCATGTGATAGTGAATTTTATGTCAAAACAAGGCATGCTTGTGAGATCCCATTTGCTGAGACTTGACCCGCGAAGGGAAGCTTTGCACTGAGTGCCAGTACATTACTTAACACTCACATTTACTGTTTAAGTAGGTGACGTGTTATTATTGAACTGAACTCAGTTAAACATATGAGGATGACAGCCGTTCATCTGCCGCTCATCTGTATCAGCAGTTTAGATGTGGAGTGACCAGTGACAATTTTTTTCCTGTTGTGAAACCAATAGCCTAATTGTGATGTCAGTTTGTTGGCCAAACTGGATAATTTGGACTTTGGATTTCTTATCGGTTTTTAGATTGGTTTATAATTTAAGATTTCTGAGTAATATAGAGTAGAAAAGAGTATGTTTCTAAACAAAAAAGACTAAAACTGACACAAGGATGTGAATTTATGTACTTGACAAATTGGACAATCGTTGTGCTCCTTATGTAGCAATTTGCTAGTAACTTACATTTTTGAAGCACACAACAATATCATAATTCAAAATATTTAGAATGTTTAGCACATTTTTAGCAAAGTTCTTAAATAGTTATTGCAATGTTGCAAGAAGCCTGTTTGACTATTGTTTGTTGCTTTAAAAAAATACTTTGGTTTGCCATAAAAATAGCCATTGATAATAATATGGCAATACAAATAAAAAATAAAAAATTTAAATTCACTAGAGGTATTTTATGTCTCTTCAAGTAACCACAGACCAAATTTCTCTCAGAAATCCAAAGCGCTATTTTGCAACCCCTTAGAAATGTTCTAAAGGAAACCTTTTGCTATTCTACACTACTCTACTATACTCTACTCTACTATACTATACACTTCTCAAATACACAACATCTCTTCTGTGCCTTTGTGCGAGGCCTTACTTTATATAGACAATCATTTTTTATGAATGTGAAATAATATCCCACAAAGTCTCCACATCCTTGCTTTAGTTACACTCCTGTGCAGCGTAAACCTGGGTTTCATCAGCTGTCCCCGTTCCACAACGCATATCACCTTTACTTGCGTGCAAGTCTGAAATCAATTAAAACGCTGCAAGATGAACGGCGCCACAACAAACCCGCAGGGAGATTTAGGGCTTCATTACTTTGCTCAGTCCGCTGAATGCACGTCACTGCTCTCTGATTGATGCGACGCCATCGCATAATTCAATATGCACCGCACCGAGCTGCTAATCTCAAAGTCTCCGGTAACTAATGGAAGTCTACTTTTGTGATGTCTAAATTGTTGTGCACTGTCAAAAAGTTCTTCAGATGGTTGAGTCATGTTGCATCCAAACTGTGGGAAAATCTTACAGTCAGTGATAAAGAATTAAAGATGAGGAAAGAAAGCATTTATAAATAATATATGGAGCCCTGGATAAACTTTTTACAGATGAAAACCTTCTAGCTTCCTAGAACTGTTCCTCAAGATCTTATGTTTGGGGCATCCTTGTGGCTTCTTCCTTTATTGAGAAAAATAATTCATAATGTCCTAAGGTCTGTTGCATTTTATATAACGAATGCTTCTCAAATTCTTCTTGCTTTGCCAGAAAAATAGCTAGAAGACAGTAACAGTAATCATCTACCTAACTTCTGAATGTAAGGGCACAAAAATCAATGAAATTAAAGGAAAATATGCAGTTGTCAATTGGCACAACCAGACAAAAGAACAAAACAAGCTCTCTGAAATTATATTACATAAAAATGCCTTAGAAAGATCTATGAATATGGTCACAAAAAATGAGTGATTTCACTCTTTCTTAAATCCTGAATTTATTTGTGTATTCTTGAAAACTGGAGTAATAACTAATACATTTTGTGCTTAACACAGCATACAAATAGCAGAGATTATTTAATCAAGTTCAAGATTTCATGACTCAAAATGTGCTCTACCACTACCAATTAGTACAAATTCGTACGAGTGAGTACGAGGTGACGAATTCGTACGATTTGTCTAAATCCCAGTGATGGGTAGGTTTAGGGGTGGGGTCAGGGGTAGGTAATTCGTACGAATTCATACGAATTGGGCAACTCGTAAAATATGTACGATTTAGCAAAAATCGAGCAAAATTTATACGAGTGAGGTCGTATAAATTTGTACGAATTAGCCACCTTGTAAAATGCGTACGAATTGCTGTGAGATCGGGTTGGCTCTACCAGTAGAGAGGCCTGTTATAGGGATATGGAGCTGTTTCTACCTGATCTCACCCTTAAAAATGAATTGCATTGGTGTATGAGTGAACTGATGTAGTCTAGTCAGGTTAAATAATTTATATTTTGGTCTTTAACAAAACAAGTTACTACTTGAAATACATTAGGCCTTTTAATTTTAGATGTTTTTTTTTCTGTGCATATTTGCTAATTGCCAAATTTTCATTAATTCACCCATCACAAAACATATAATCATATGATATAAGCAAAAATAAGCAACAATATTTGTTGTATTTAATATTCACCAGCAGAACCAGCAAAAAATTTACTGTTTGCATGTGACTAAGTCATACTGTAGATTCTTTTAACTTTCTGCTCTTTCTTTTTTTGTTGTTGTTGTTGCTTATAACCTTAGTCACACTAAGTGCCAGATGCGTGCCAATAAGGTGCGGAACAAAACCTGGTGCTAAAACCAAGACATTTTCCAGGGTCACTAAAAGACTTCAAAAATTCACTTTCCAATACTACTTAGCAAGGATGAGTCATTATGAATGAATCATCATCGTGGGATAATTC